AAAAATCTAAATTATGTGCCTAACTGTTAAATAATTAAAAACATGAGTTAAATATTTATTTTTATCTAAAACTAGCACCAGAAACTGATATTAATGACATGTTGGATTTAATCAAATATGGTAACAGTTCTTTTCCTGAGTTACAAGAGCAATGGAAAGCTACTGTACAGTATAGACTACAGAGAATAAGCTTATCAAATTCAACTACAGATATAATAAATKAATGGAAGAATTATACAATTCCRTTAGGGTACAAACTTGTAAGTATAAAACCAAAAAATACTAATTTCAAGTTCATTTATCATTTATCCACCTAAAAAATATGAAAGTTAAAATTATTTAGTTAATTTATTTGAAGTATAAGTTGTTTAATATCATTGTTTTACTACACCTAGATGGATATTGATTTTAATGAGCTATTTACAACAAAGAGTAATATTATAGCTGAATTCGAAAAATATTCTGAAGATTTATTAAAAATAATAGATTCAAATATTAAGGATCATGATGGAAAAATACTCATTGAATCAATTAAACAAGAGTCAGATAACATATCACAAAGTAATTTAAGTAAATATTATAATTATAACATAAAATAAAGCAAAATGTTATATTATATTATATTAAGTAGGTAGATAGATAGGCCTAGTCTGGTCCAAGAATATTTTTTAAAAGACTGGTCAAACAGCACAAAACACTTTTGATAAAAAGGCCAGTCCAGTTCATCAAAACATTTTGTAAAGACACATTTAAATATATATTAAAATACAAAGATAATTTTAAAAAAATGTACCATAAAATATTAATTCAAACAAACAAAATATGTAGGTACACAAAATACGTACACCAATTAATACACCACTAACACTAGAGCACTATAGAGCCTTACTAAMAGTACTATCACAGTAACACTAACCAACGAGGCATTATAGACGACAGAAGTCTGAAACCGGCAAATGGCAATAGTAGGTATAGTACCCACACAGATGTAGCGGTGTCAATATTTAGTCAAACGCAATGAATTTTCTAAAAATACTTCAAATTACCATTTCTATTTTATATTGGTAGTTGTTATTGTGACACTATAGTAATAATACACCCATGAATAATAATAATAATCTAGCTAAAGCTATATATTTTAATAATGCTGTTAATGACATATTTCTAAATTAAATATAAATAACTGTATTACCCCATTACCCACGTTCCACGATTCACGAATTACATGATATTCCTAATTATACCAACATCGATCTGATGTGAACTTATCATTTTTATTTGAGATTATGATTACTAATATAAATATTTTACTATGATGGAAATTTATAAAATTATTATTAAAGCAAGCATATTATATATTTTAATAGTAAATACACATTTTTCTG